ACAGTTTAAGTTTGAAACTGCAAAAATAAATAATAATAATAATGAACAATATAAATGATATAAATTAGATGTAAATATAAAGTTAAAAAAAGTGAACAAAAATAATGAATTTAACTGTTAGTATTACGTGCACATTGGGGAGAAGTCATTCGGTCGAATATTAATTCACCATCACTTTCTACGGTTTTTATCGTGTTATCCAATATTTTAGAGAAATCTTTTGCCTGTCAACTAAATATTTTTGTTTGTCTTCAATCTATTGGATTCATCAAAGATAAGCTTTATCATTATTAATCAAGTTTTTTTTTTTCAGGAATTTTTTGGAGCAATACTGGAAAATCTGCTTTGCCATATATATACCCACTTAATACAGAAAACATCCCATTTAGCGTAACTAGAAAGTTTAGCTAAATTAATTTGCCTCTATATGGAAGGACAACATGCTCACAGAAATTAATTTAAGTGGTGTTATAAATATAAATATTACACCAGTTATAAAATGCGATCTTTAAATTTGTAAAAATATTTAGTTCATTAATAAAAAACAGAGCAAAAAGTTATAATCAACAACCAGTAATCCAACATCCTCTGTATCGATTTCAAGAAATAATAACTCCTTTTACCGTGGGAACGTTTTTAATTTTATAACTTGTTAAACACTTTTGCTAGACTTGATATGAAAAAAAAATGTTGTCGAGACAGACATTTGCATCTGATCAGTAATAAAATAATTACCAGACATTACATTAAGATAATTATCTCAGCAAGAAGTGTCGTTAAATTAATTTCTCGATGATCTAATATTTATTATTCACTAAACGTTCAACAGTAATCTGTAAGCGTCTTTCGCTGTTTATTTTTTGTGTCGGACGGTAAAATATTCGGATAGTTTGGGACAATTGTCAATAAAACGAATAAAAATTTGAGAAAAATTGATGAACATTGTACATAACTTTTCGCAACAACACCGAATTCCCATTAAATTTTCTAAATGTTTGAGGTAAAAAATGGCGACATCACCTATAGACATAGACCGACATACTTTCCTGAGCATTCCTAAGATGCTGTTCGGGTGATAAACAATAATATTTGAATGAGATGCAACTAATGGTCGTACAGAAGTGTTATTTTAAAATCAGTACCTAAATACCTCCATCGATTGTATAATAAATTCATCAATTTATCTACGCCGCTTCGGTACCGGTTTCGTGAAAAAATGATGTGACGAAGCGCTAAGCGACAGATTCTATTTTCTACAGTTGCATAAGTACACTGCAATTTCTACTGGCATTTTTCGACTGCCAATTTCCATTCTTTTAACAGAGATTTGTTGGTGTTTGCGAAATGCTCGCAAAAAACCAGACGCCTGCAATTCTTTCCGCGTCCAAATCAAGAAACAAAAGCAAGGGTCTCGAAAATTCCCGTGGGATAATTTTGGGTGACGCTATAGGACAGTTTTTCTTTTATCGGAAGTTGGATCGAACCATATTACCATATTTTCCTTTTTGTGCCATAAAATTAACGAAGCTTGGCAATTAATTTAAAAGTACTTAATAAAAACACGCTCTGAATAATACGGGTGGTACCGTCAACAACTTGTCTTAAAATTGGTACCGCCTTCAATGAAGAGTCAAGAAAGATATTTTCAGGTACTACCTCGGTTACGCCAGTAATACCGCAAGCTATATTAGTTTAAAATTGACACGGAATAGACGGTACTGAGATGAAGCCAATCCTAGCCATTCTAAATACGCACGACGCGTTTTTATACAAGTACTGAAGCAATTAGGTACTAATTAGAGATTGAAGTGTTTTATGCATATTGATCAATTATATAAGTACCGTTTTTAGCAACAGCGTATCTCCCAGTCACCTACCTACATGCTAAGTTGCAACACTACTTTCACGTAAGGAAGCATCTTCGTATTGGAATGTCGTACTCGTACAGTACCGAGCGATACCTACCTATAAACTAATAAATGATATAGTGTGACTCGAAACAAATGACGGGTACGCCAGCCGACACACATTCACCGGCTTTGACGGCTATAAACGAAACCCACCGTCTAAAAAAGTGATATTTCGGCTGAAGACGACATAAAAATGCGGTATCATCTGCTTAAAAAGATTTTTATTTTATTGCCGAGAAGAGGCGAGCTATGTTGTCACAAAAGACCGCTAGCGCTCCCTTTATTAAATTTGCAAACATAAATCACTTCTTTATATGAAACAGCTTGGTCTACAAGGATGTAATCATCGGACAGTTCCCTTAATGCGTAGCTTTTATTTCCTGTACATCGTAAAACGTCGTAGCACAATCTATTGCTACTCGAGATCTGTATGCAGGTAATAACATTTTCATCTTCCCATCCTTGCGCTATGTTATCAATACCTTTCTCTCGTTTTTACTGCGCTGATTTCTTGTGGAAGAAATTTTACACGTTCGACGGAAGTTACGGCAAAGTATTTTTTACCGAGAGGTTCGTACCGCCTTAACTTCCAACTTAATTACAGGGGGACGACGTGCCTCAAGGACACCTATATGATTTTTTAAACCGATACGCCACAGACTACCAATTCGAGTTCAAATTACGTAACTATTTGTAAGTAATACAATTTAACAAAAATCACATTTGGAAAAAAACGTGACTACACTTGTACGTGTTGCGTATAACTTCAGGTGCTACTGCTGTTCGTCCAAGTGATTTAGTACCGCGATAATGTCGGTTAATACTACTTATTAGTTTTTTTTGATAGCCCAGACAGAAAAAACCTAAAGCAGATATGGGTACATACATATGGAAAATATGCATATACCCATATATGATATGGCCTCGAATTTGTTTTGTTCTAGTTATGAATGAAGTAAGAAGGTTTTAAAACACCTGTTTCGAATAATTCTTTGTATTGACTAGTTAAAAATCGGAAAAACTTTAGCGTGCCCGTTTGCGCTGTCACTGGCTGGGCACCGTAAAAAACGAAACGTTATGAATATGTATAAATTCGTGCATATTAATAGTCACTGATTCCGAGTAATAAATTCGGTGGATTGTTCTTTCCTGTCATAAAGTTGAAATGAATTTAAAAACAGGAAATAGAGAGTTCAATGAAAAAAGTTTGTAGTATTTAACAGTAGTGTTCGGCGTGCCGCGCCGCCACTGATTAAAGGTGTGAGAAAGTTCGAAGATTCATTTCGAAGAATGTTGCACATAATTTAGTAGCTGCATTAGACTAATGGAAGTAAATCTTTGATATTTTGTTTGCTTAATTTAGAATAAATGTTACAAGGTGTAACAGTTTTTTATCAGTTATTTTCGCTTACAGTCTGTCATTTATTCAATTGCCTTAATTATAGATGTAAATAGAGCTCCCAAATTATGTAAGCGTTATTAATAAACAAACATATGGTGCTGCATTTTTGTGAATGTAGAAGAAGTACCGGTTGGTAAAAGAAACAGATTTAACAGAAATTTGTCACTCGTCAAACCTCCCAAGTGGGATCTTTGTTGGCGCTGCCTTAACCATTGTGAAATGCATTTACAAAAGGATTATGGGATTACAAATTAGGTGGTTAAAGACGTTCCCAAAATGAGGCAGATATGGTACTTCTAAGCAGTTGCCGAAAGTAGGCGAATGACAGCTTGTTATTTCTACCACCCTTATTGTTTACTTTACAATTAGATGTGAAGGTGGCTTCCACTATGTATTAGAAGAAAATTAATGGCTTTGTGAACGTCACCAGCACGAATCAATTATTTATAAATATCACCATGCCGTAGTCAAATTTCATCATCCGTGACTTTGCATGATGACTAGACTGTCTGCAAAATATCAGTAGACGCTTTATAAACGACAAAATCATGCACCATCGACTTAATCAGTATGACCTTTTTTTTCAAAAAGATGTCGTTTGGAATGTTGAGTTCTCAGTACCTATACCTCTTTGGTCCCTTGCGAATTTGTGTTATTTTTTTTGTTCAAAACGCCAACAACATAAAAGAAACGATAAATCTGGCCTCCGCGTTCGATGAAACGCTGAGAAATACATAAAAGTTCTCAGACAGAGAGAACTTTCCCCGAAAAACGATCTACACGTATGTACCTCTCATCTAAATTATTTACTTGACACGACCGTGTCGATATTATGAGATTCGATTCATAATCCGGCGATCCCGTTGTCTGAATTAAGAGTAGATTGTTTGATTTGCCGCCAACAACCTGTTCAAATTTACAAATTAGAGAGAGATTTTACCCAACTAATTTAAGTTGCATAAATTTGTTTATAACGGTAGATTAACAATAAATCTATTTATGCGCGATAGATTCGGCTTTTCTTAAGTGTGCCAGCAGTGCCGGTATACATTAACGTAGACACTTACAAATTAATAATTCGGCGAGGATGCGAAAACGTATCCGATTACGGCTCTACACTCTACAGCAAGGTCGGAGGTCACTATTGACAGTCAAATTTGCATCTTTACAATTAATTGTAACTCTTCTCTCGTCTGATGATCGAATGACCTCAATTTCGGTTTAGACAAAAATATTCCTGTGATTGTGAAGGTTTTATAGGTCATAGCGGCAGGTCGGAGGTTGTCAGTTCATGACCTCAAACCGACGTTCACCTGACGGAACGGGAGTCATCTTTTACTTACAATCATAAAGAACCGTTCGTATTTCATTAATTCATTCTAAAACATGCTCAAGAATTTCCACGGTTTTTATTTAAAAGAACAATTAAATCGCGAGCAATTAATGCACGTGTTTTTTTAAGTGAACGCTCTTACTATTATTTATTTGCTTTTGTTCTAATGGCATTAGCGATTTCATTAAAAGGTTATACAGTAAAGCGAACCAGAAAGCGTTGACGTTCGAAGTTTTGCTTGTTTTTAAGGTGTGCGGACACAATTCGAGGAACATCGACTCTCGATGTGTACGGACTAACACCAGTAGATGGTCTATTCGTCGTAAGGAGAGACGGTAGAAGAGTAACGCTAATGTAAAGAACAAAAAAAATTTATTATGATAACTTTAAATAACATCATTCACATCAGGAACAATACAGCTTCACTAGGGAAGGTTTAATTAAGAAACATGAACAATTTGTAATAATGACATTTAGTTTACATGCTTTAAATATACAATAATATATTACAAAACGTCTGTCTTTTTGACAATAATAAGTCTTTCAACTTGTCCAAGTGGTTAAGTAGTACAACAAGTGTTTTTAGATTAGTGTCGTAGAACGATTTTCGTAATCATTCTATGACACGTTAGCAAATGACTTAGTTTTAATAAGAGGAACATTGCGTCTTTGTTCAAAATTATCATCAGATACAGAGGTGTCTAATACTAATTAACGTTGATCATCTTTATAAAAAAATTAAGTTGCTTCTGACTAGAGCTTCAAAGAGTACAGCAAAAAATGGAAATATACGGAAGTTCAAATCGGAAGCAAGTTAATGAAAAGAAAATGCTTACGAATATTGAGATAAGTCCATGTAAGTAGACAACGCTGACTTAGTTAATTTTAGAATCATCACATATTACAATAACAATTTTAAGTGTTATAATTAGTTACATACTACTTGACGAGATGGCGCCGCGCCCCGCCCATAAGGCGGGCTTTCTACTACACCAAAATCTTTGGTCTTTGAACCAGAATTTTTCTCCAGGGACTACAAAAGAACAAAGTAAAAGAAGACGAGGAAACAATTATTCTAATTATGTACACTATAAACAAAAGTTATTGGTCACTGAAGAGATGTTCTGGTGGTAATTATTGGCGGTGTCTAAAGCGGCATCAAAGGTGGGGCGAAGGCTCCTTGGACACGGGACAATACAGTCCCAAAATTGTAATACTCATGCAACCATAAGCTACTTCGACGATCCCGCGCGTTAAGAATTAGAGCAAATAATAAATATAACTGTACATCGTGCCCTAGGCTAACGGCGAGATCGGCGTCACATACACTCAGTCAATCATACGTATAAACTAACTCTACACCTCCGTGGCAAAGAGACCCGCTGAAATCGCATCCGGGCGGTGGAAGTGTTCTTCTATCACATAAACGCCATTGGACTCCTTTTCTACCGGCCTCTTGAGTAGGGAGGGGTCGCTGTAACAATAAAAAACCGTCAAAATTTTCGAAATATGTGTCGAACAAAAATCGAACTCACCTGGAGCCGCACACAGCCGACGCGTTTGACATCACAGACAAACGTTTAATATGTTCGTACTCGGGTTCGTGCAGCTTGGCCGCCAACAGCGCCGATGCACGAGGTCCCGGTTCGGTATTGAGCTGCTTCTGAGAACGCGTTCTCTGCAGACTGTAGACCGGTCTTCCGTCTATGACTTGGTGCATAGGTTTAGGAAAACCATCACATTCGCTTACACTAATATTGGATACACTGCAGTCATCGGGCGAGGAAATGTTCGAACTGATCACGTTATTGGTGCATTTGCCCCAAGAGTTTTTGATCACGTGTGCGTCAGCCGCCATAGCAGCTCCTCGCTTGGCAAAACTGCTATTCGCCGTATTCTGCTCGTTTTGCAGTCTGGCTTCTTCGTCTGCTCGCGCTTTCTCCCGTTTGCGACGCTGTTTCACGCAGACGACAATTCCGACGGCAACGAGTACTATCAGCGGGACGACGGTGGAGATCGTAACGATGAACACGACGTGCTGCGTCGTAAAGTTCGAATCGGAGGATATTCTAGCGCTCGGCGCGGCGCTAGACGACACCTCCTCGCATTGGCGACCCAAGAAACCGGGCGGACAGTGGCACTCGTAACCGTGGACGCGATTCACGCAAGTGGCACCGTGCTGACAGGGTTCGAGTTGACATTCGTCGACTTCTTCGCTACAGTCTTTTCCTGTGAAACCCGGTGCGCACTTACACTCGTAATCATTGATTAGCTGCAGGCAGGTACCGCCGTTGGCACAAGGTATGGTGGTGCAATAGTCTACGCGTTTTTGACACAAGGGTCCCACGAATCCTGGAACGCACTGGCAACGGAACTCGTTAATCTTGTCCACGCAAGTACCCCCGTTCTGGCACGGGTTACCCTGGCAGTCGTCGATGTTGGTTTCGCAACGTTCTCCGGTGAAGCCCGACGGGCATATGCATTTGAAACCGTTGGTGCTCTCGACGCATTTGCCGTCGTTGCTGCAAGGACTGGGGCTGCAGCTGTTCAACTGGGATTCGCAGTCGACGCCGCCGTAGCCGGGTCGACACTCGCATCGATAGCCATCGTCGGTGACGGTGCAAGATCCGCCGTTCTGGCATGGCTTTTCTTCGCAGGTCTTGACGGAAGTTTCGCAGCGTGGACCGCTGTGGCCCGGCGGGCAGATACAGATGTTGAGGGTGCTATTGCGATTGCAAGTACCGCCGTTCAGACATGGGGTCTTGCTGCAATCGTGCAGGGGAAGTTCGCAGTTGGTGCCGGTGTAGCCGGCAGGACAACTGCATGTGTAGCTCCCCTGACCGGTATTGAAACACGTGCCCCCGTTTCGGCAAGGCTTATGGTTCGTACAGAAGTTCAGATCTTGGTTGCAGAAAAGACCGCCCCAGCCCTCGTTGCAGAGGCAGTCCCAGGGCTTGACGCAGGTACCGTGCATGCAGCCGGGGTACCGCTGGCATTGGTCGCATAGAGGTCCTTCCCATCCGGATTGACACCTGCGGAATAAAAGCATCGCTGTTGAAATGGATGTTCGTTAATGAGAGGTTCGATATCGATGAATAGTCGAGGAATTGTAATGATCGCCATTTTATGATTCGCGGAGTTAATAGGATTGACGCTTCAAGGATTTTCACATGGAGTCTGAGAACGGTCGGTCGGTCGGTTTATGTTGTACGTTCACGTACGTGTATGACACGCTAATAAGGACGAAATGTCTGTGTATCGTTATAATTTAGTTGTCGGGAAGTAGAATTACACAATATCCTGCAAAAGTAACGGTCACTATGGGATGTTGAATAACGTGGAAGTGTGACTTTTCCGGATGATATAGTTGCTGTGGAACGACAGCAGCGAGAGTGTTTTCAGGGTGAAGAAAACACCGGTAACGTCAACATGAGTACGTTCGGACATGATTTATTTATTCAAATCATGTGTTTGGGAGCGAGTGTATTCGGATCGTATCGGGCAGCTCATTGAGTTGCAGCTTGGATCGCAGACCGGGCCGCGCGGGGAGCACTGGGGGGGATGCAACACGCCCACAGAGCCGTTTCCCACGCTGCCCGTTGGCAAGTATGCAGGTCAAGGAAAGGTTACCTGCGGGTCGCCGGCCCAATCCGCATACACTGTACTGCACACAGCTTCTTCCGCTTGGATCCGACTACAAGACGACCGGCGACCGTCAAACTAATAACCACCTAACTCGGACAAACTTCTTGAAAATTATAGGGTTCACCGTTTTGATGAATTCGGCTTGTATCCGACACTCACGCTCGACAAGAAAACTTTTCGGATCGATTTTACCACGCAGTGATTTCAACGATGGATCAAATCGAGTAAATACAAGGTTGAAATTGACGAACTAACTTACCGACACTCGTTCGGTTTGGTGCAGTGACCATGCTGTTCGTCGCATCCGGGTAGGCATCGAGCTGCAACAAAACAATTTTCTCAGAAAAATAATAATAACAATAAAAAAAAAAAACGCTCTCCAAATATGATTTAACAAATCGAAGTGAGCGATGCCAAGAAGCGCCCTGTATATGCGCAGGTATGCCGCGATCGTGGGAAGAGTGCCGGCTGTGCAGTCGACAGCAGCTGAGCGCTCACGTCTCTTAGCTCTCGCGGTCAAAGTTTTTGTTTTATGATCAAAATTCGTCTTTTTTTGTTCCGTTCTATTTTTACCTCAACGATTCTCAACAATTCAAACAAAATCTCTTGTGTGAGACTCGAGGACTAACACCAGAGACTAGTTAGTATCAAAATAGGCGGAAAAAGAGATAAAAAGCCATCTGGTCGACCACTTACGTTTAGTACAGTAGTCTCCCGTCCATCCAGCCAGGCAAACTCGCTCGCCCGTGGGAGAACAGCTGTAATGGCCGAAATTGTCGTCTCGGGGACGGCAAAGGTTTTCGCAACCCTTACCGTAGTAATGGGACTTGCAAGTCACCCTGTATTCAAATTTCAATGTCGAATACTTGGAACTGTGCACGTCTCCGGTCCATTTCTCGCTGACGTCCAGCCACCTTTGTCGCGTCAGTCGACTTACTAATACTGCAAATAAGAAACAACTTCGATTGGTACACAGCTTGGTTATAAAGTAATGCAAAGTGTGTGTGTGTGTGTTAAAAGAATTTAATATTAACCTTGATACGTATACATCAGGATAATAATAATAAAGATAATATAGGTGTCTGGTGTGGTGCATTTATCACACGGCGTGATGGCATCATGCAGGTAGACTTTGTGGACAAAATTCTAAAGTAAATTTGAACGGACCGAGATGGTAGACGTGTGAGAAACAGAGTGCACCTGCATGATGCATCGAGTATCCTGCACTTTGCAGCTGTATCCGGTGAAGCTGTGGTAACTAGTGACGAGAACACCTTTATATTTATTGTAAACCTCTTCCAGATTCAAATCTAGGTATTAATTAAAATTCTGATTAGGTAAAGGGTCTATCTATCGAACCTTCTTCGTACGAAAAGCTACGGCAGGTGGAAGGTCCGTTCCTCCTTATATTCCCGATTTAATTCGAGCTAAGAAACATTCAGGTGCGAGGAGACGACAATCTTATCGAGGGGCGAAAGGTAAAGGAAGTTGGAGATAATATTCCACAAGTTGAAGGGGAGAAGCAAAAGGGACAGGACATCCGGTGTAATGCCCTGAATCGAGCACGTTTTGGCGAGCCGGTATTGTGTAACAATTCTCAAGATTAATTTTGGTCGGAGATCGTGGTATAAGAGTTATTGTGTGAACGAGCGTTTTAAAACATTTTTTCTTCCTATGATCGTACGTCGAATGCAGTCTGTAAGATCTCTAAAATAAATAGCCTCACTGAGACAGGTTCTTCTTGGTTTAATTAACGGGCATCCGTTAATGTGGAGAAAGAAGCATGGGATCCGCGCGAACAGAACAGAGACGCACGAACATAAAGCTAAAACGATAAGCAGACATAGGAAATACAAGTAGGTACTTTTGAAAAATTCTTCAGCAATTATTCTCCTGTAAGTAGGTATAGCGCGTCTGTGCGACTCGTTAGACCACTTTTATTCAGTTTTTTCTCCGTCTATGATTACAAAATCACATAAATTACTATTACCGAAAGTCTCAGATTCTTTAAAACTGTGTCCGTCAATTACCGAAGAAAGTTTTCACCGCAGAGAATTCCCCGGAAAAAGGTGAATTATTTATTATTAAAACGACCATACAGACCGGTCCCAGTAACTATATTTTTTAATCAACGTGATGTGTTTTTTAACAATTAAAAGTTAAAAGTCGCCGTGTACTCGTCAGGCAGTGAAAGACCATTACTATAAATTTTCGAGATGATTAACATAAATCAAGCCGTAAGCGCATATTAAACTGGCACATAATATACTTTTCCGGGGTTTTATACAATATGCTACTGAATCCTTTATGTTGCCAGTGGAACTTAATAATATAACGTGTGAACAGACTTAATTAGATACTATGCAGCGCTTTTATATCTGATTTCTTTTAATGATCTCGGTATACATTATACTATAAACATATAACATATTTTCTTAACAAGTCTTTAAAATCCTAACGGCCTAAACTCGTATTGGTACTAATTGAAGACTACGATGAGAAGAGAAAACGTTAGAGAGATGAGAGAATATCGACATTTAAAAAAGTGTCATCGATGTAGGGTTATCCCGATGACATAATCGAATCGGTCAAAAGGGACTGGAAATCTATTTATCATTTTGTCAACTGCACAGTTGAACGGCCCTAAAACGAACCATAGGGTAGGGAAGGGGAACGGAATAGTATAGAACGGTTACTCTATAGCACCTGGTCGTTGTACAGCCGCCACATTAAATTTGACTACGGTCGAAAGTCGCAATAAACGGTTGCGAATTCCGATTCGAAGCAAAACAGCGAGAGAATCAGTATTCGGGAAGTTGAGAGGACCACATTTACAATGTTTACATGTCATAAAGTCGTTGTTCGTGAGAAACGTCGACTTCCTGAAAACATCATCCTTCTCCCGGCTTAATCAAATTTAATTAAATCGTTACCGAAGCCTCAGTAAAACGGAAATGACACGCGAACGAAATTGGCAAATAGAAAATGTTGCTCCCGTCCCGTCGTGTTTTTTTTTATGTTTTTTACGATTACGATTAAGTACGAAGAATGTAGTGGAAATATCAGCGAGACGTGCATCAAAGCGGAAGAACCTTTTAGGTTATCAGGAAGAGGGCTGGTTTGTTGGTAGCTAAGAGTTGACAGCTGTTATGCATGTGGCTTCTACCGTGCTATACTATGATATTTATTTAGTTTCGGAGAAGAGAACGGCGTTACTCATATACCACACACACCTCCGAGTCGAGAAGAGGGACCGATGCGCGATGCGGTCGTTTAAGGAAAAAATTCAAGTAATTCGCCAAGAATTCACTCACCTGCGGGGTGTGATGTCTGGTTGCCGTGCCACGCTTCCACAATCAAGGAAAACGTACCCTGTAACAGATACATAAGAAATTGTTTAATTTTTTTGGTCGTTCTAAGAGAAAACAACTTTCACTGAGAAGATGTTAAAGCGGTTACGTGCGATACCGCTTTTTATGATCGACAAGAGTTCTTTCTTGTTCGTCATTCCCATCATAGAAACGTAGAGACGCGTACGTTACGTTTTGGGATTAGAAATGAATAAATTTCTAACGAGCCACCGACAGACAATAAAATGCCTTCGAGATTTCTTGGAGACAGAGAAAGAAACCTCGGAAGATGAGTTTGCACGAGTTGGTGTATATAACAATAAACAATACAAAACCGGTTGAGCATAAGCATCTTGCGATGCTTATTGCGCACGAAATTGTGGGAAAATTAGGTTTTTTAACTTGTTTTTACCACAGGTTCGATTACTCGCTTGGAAAATTGGAAGAGGCAGTGATTGACAATTGCAAATGTAACAAAGCGAAGAATGTAAGGAATGTTGTTGAAAACACGGAAATGTCTTCTTTAAATTATATACAGAAAAGTTGTTACGCTTTCCAATTTTACCGTATCGGTGAAAAAATTGCTAATTACCCAACGTAGTACGGTCTTATAGAAATTAATTAATTAGACCGAATATTTTCTCGGATTCTTCGTCAACGGGTAAACAAAAAGGAAGAAACAGAAATAAAGCATACATAAACATGGAGTTTGATCAATAAATCTATTATAATTAATTTTGAATTTGTACAGTACGTTTCCCACGGCAGATACCTGCTTCGAGCCAGTATAAGATGCTACAAAATCGTTCGGCGGAAATAGTACAGTCTCAGCAATAACCTCGGTAAAGACGGTCATATAAATCGCGTTTCTCCGACAAAACAAAAACTGACGATTCTCAGAAATGTGTTCTTTCCGCAAAAAAAAGAATAATAAAAATTGGCGAACGACTGAATGAATGAGGCAATGTGAAGTAAAAATAGAACCGTTCGTCCTAGGGCAATCTATTGTAAGGGTGGCCCGCATAAAGTTGGCGAACAGAAGACGGGCAGGTGGTACCTACCGACTAACAACCAACTCGAGACATATATCATTTTGAGACAAAGTCTGCATGTTTCGCGATTTATGTTTCGATGATGGTTTTTCGACTTTTTTTGTTGTTTGTTGCATGGCGCAGAATAAAAACTTACCGGCCAAGTGAAGGGAAACGGCAAAGCGATGGAACTGTCGAATCCGTTTTGGGAATTATCCGATCCGGGATTTGGTTCGAGTTCTGTGGTGATCACGTCTCCGAAGGTGCACGGAGACGTAGTGTCGATCTTCACTTGGTATTCCTTGAGACAAACCCTGAACCGCGGCCGACACATCCCCTCGCAGTCAGAGTTCGGTCCAGAGACACCGGTACAACATTTTCCCAAATCGTCCTTTCCGGCTTCGTTGTCGAATGATATCAGTCGTAATTCAAAGACTCCGGAAGAATTGGCCTGTCAGAAATTTGTTGTTGTTGAGAGTTCGATTCGACGACTCGAATCCCGCCAGTCAAACGCATATGTTTTCGATTTATTACTAGTGAGTTTAAATAGTTCGGTAGGTTTTAGCTATTTTAAGAACGCGATAGATGGGCCAGTATCGAAATGAGGTTGTTATTGTTCGCGTTCGGGTGCAGCGTGAGACACTGACCAGATATGATATATCACCGTCTCACGCGCGTTGATGTTCGCGGGTCGCGTATGAGGCGGCATTCAGGCAGGCGGACTTGCTGTTTACCTGGTGTTGGGCTAAGATGACGAAGACTAGAAACGTAATCCAAGACATGGTGATGGCTTCGATGGCGATCGAGAGGGATTCAGCAGCTTCTTTGTGCTGTTACCTCAGAGGTAATCTGCAACACCACGCCATAGGCAATTGTCAATTACACTCACTGCAGTCACAGTCGGCGACGGTGGCGGCAACATGCGTGCCTCACTATAGGGGATTCACAGCACAGCACACGCATAAGGTGTTAGTACGTCGGAGGGCACCCCATATCGCCACAGCACACCACCAACACACGTAATATCCAAAGCGGTCGTCGCGTAGCTGTTTCAAGCACGAACGGCAGATGCAGACTGAAGCTTTCAACAGTCGGAGTTTACGGAGCCGGCTTCGGTGTGGTAGCGTCTGGGGAGGGGAGCGCTCTAAGGGGTACTGCGTGCTTCCGCCAGAGCTCTCCACACTTTACGCGACTTACTATACCTACTACACCGCACCACGCTCGCAAGCTTGCTACCCTCGAATGGGCAGCCACCCGGCGTGCCCGCTTTAATATGAGGGACTCCTCACAGCTGCTCGCTGAGGCAACCCGACAACCCGAGGGTAGCCCAGCCGACGGTACGACACCACCCACTCGCGCGACCACCCCACCAGCTCGCGAAACTAACCTTCACCAACAAGACCTTCACCACGGACGCGATGCTCAAATTCGGGAGACGGAGCGCCACTGCGTCACCGCCGCGGTGCCTCGCACCTTTCCCTGTTTACTTTAGCGTCCTCATTTATCTCGATCAACTCCAATACTGCGGATTTATCGTGTCACTTTGATCGTCAACTTCTCATTCAACATCCAAAACACCAATTACCGGACCGCAGTTGTGTGAATATAATAATATAATAACGACAATGCGCTCTCCCCGTCCGATAAAATTATTACAAATGTGACTCCGCCTCTGGATGTAAGCCATTTTCATTGATGAAATTGTTTGACAAAACACTGAATGAAACTATATACAGACTATGATACCCGGCGGCCTCAACTGGTTTCGCTTTGCGGCAGACAATATCGCGCCTACAACGAACGATATCGATGTGCAGTAAAAGTTTAAAATCGTTTACAAAATAATAAAACATTTCCTAACCACAACCAATTTATAACTATCAAACTATAAACACAAAACACAAAATTTGAATACCTGAATATTAGCAAAAGTAGCCATACTTAAGAGAATTTTGACAGTTATGACGTCATCTTTTATTCAAAATATGGCGCCAAAATTGTCAGGGTTATTTAATTGTTTATTTTAAAACTTATTTGGAATGAATAAAGCACAGCTTTATTAACGAAATTATAAATAATATAAAATACGTATAAAGTGTGCATTTGAAAAGATTCTGTGCAGTGCGGCTACTTTCTCTCATCTTCTGGTACACCAATAAAACTCGCTTCCAACCAGAAAAAAGTTCGATAAATTTTCTAATAAAACTGAAGAGATTGCATCATTCAAAGAAAACTGAAACGGCTTCACGCTGAACCACATGAACAAATTGAATTAAAGTATTATAATAATCTGTTTACTTTTTATGTTTTTGCAGTAAAATGTCACGATGGGTGATTTCAAATAATTGTAATGTTCTTAAAAACAGAATCAGAATCTCAACAACCGTAACACATTAAAAGGAGTTGAAAAGTTTTTAGCTTGTTAACTATCGTCACCACTAGCCGCAACTATACAGTGTGTTTTACTTTTTTTGTTAATCATTGGCCCTAACGTAGATTTCTCGCAGTAACAGTTTAATGTCTTTATTAAACTCGGCAAAAAGTGAGAGAGGTCGAGCGGATTTTAAAATAAGTTTTCCGACTGCGAAAATAATTATATAATAAATCATACAAAAACAAGATTTAGGTAGGATAAAAAACTGCAGTGTGATGACCGGAAATTAAGGTTCTTTTGATTGTTATAATGGATTAATATAAACGATCATTACCACACAACAATAACGAGAACAAAAACTGCCATTAAATTTTGAAATGGAGTCCATATTGTTGTCAGTACTAGATGTATCAAGGACGCATAACTATGAATTATTAAAAGAACCATAACTCGATATTTTAATTACACATTTAAGAGAAAAAAATTCACGGAAAATCTTCTTAACGCCCACAATATTCCCTGTTTGTGTTATTCACAATGTATTTTCGCGAGTATATCTGAAGACTCCAACTACCTAGAATACATGAAATAAGCCTTTCACTAGTGAACAAAAAGTGTATTCTTTCGAGCCGCGTTATGTACAGATAGATTACGACGTAAAGTTAATAAGGACAGCTGTGTAAAATCGCAAAGTAAAGTAAACGGTGGTCAATTACGGTTATTGGATTTCATGCGTAAGTGATTAATTCATTTTCTAATTAAGTAAATACAAGAAGTGTTGTAATTAAGACGGCTACGAGCATACGGACATTAGCGCCCCATTTTCATGAAATTTTAAAGTAATGTGACGTGCATCCGGGCACCTTGACATTGCCAAGTCTTAACGTAATTAACATTCAACGAATAAGGGTGAAATTAAAATAGGTACAATGTAACACATCGTTATCTATGAGGATACGGTAAAATAGGTCATCTACGTAAACGCAATTGTAGCCGTGCACGACTAATTTTATATACATTTCTTTAAGGCTACTTTGAACGTATGTCAATAATTGATCCGAAAATTTTGCGATTGAGAGTGTTGTAATTGTGTTTAAAACGTTATCAGTGAGTGATAGCGAGTTTTGCAATATTCGAATACTAAGGCAACCAAATTAGTGTTAAATAGCTGATCCCAGTGTATCGAAAAAGTCTTATTTATTTATAGAGAGTTATAGGAATATGATCGACTGATTCACCAACTACGAGTATAAAAATATACATTACATTATTGAAGACGTCTTTGTGAGAGATTTATGGCGCCGTTTATTAAAAAGTACTTTGATTTTTTCGCGAATTTTTCACCGATTTGTATACGCACAAATTATAATGTTTAAATTATGATTGTTTCATTTAGCGCTAAAATTATCAAACAACAATAAACGGTTCGTGGACACCTTGTCTCGTCAATAATTGCACTGTTATCGCGAATTAAAATAACTAAAATAAACCACTTCACTATATTGGTATTATGAATCCAAAAATAACAAACAACCCAGGAAATCCATTACCATTATTAACCCAATAATATTCAACAAAAGTGTACCTACTTACAAAGTTGAAAAAGCATCAACAACTAACATCCTCACTAATTTCACAACAACAAATATCACTGACAGCGATCCGACTTCCCCGGAAGCTACACTGAAACTAAATACTATTTAAATAAGTACCTGCCGAAGTTAAAAAAGTCATTATCTAACTCATGGCTCATCAATCGCATCATGATTTTTTTCATAAAATGACATTGCGGTTTTACGTACATACGAGACATGGGCGTCTCAAGGTTTCAAAATTAAGACATATAAATTTTTCAATGCGAATCGTGAGAAGAAGAAGAATTTATGAATGTTTAAACAAACACGCAAATAACCTTAAACTTAAAATTTAAGTAATAAAAAAATTTTATGCATAGTTATTATAATTATCCAAGACAATTTTGACGTATTTGTTGCATAGTTTCTCACCGGTGGATATCGTCGTGCTTCAAAATGCCATAATTAGGTGGCAAATCATCAGATATGTGGTCTTGAACAAGGTTAAGTTATTGAACTTCAAGAAATTGTTGTATATTTCTGGTTGTTTTATGAACCACTGCATTATGAGCGTGAGCTAAGGAAGTATTGTAATCGGACGACTGAGTACTTTCACATTTTCTCGATGTGTCATGACCCCTAGAGCACACTAGTGCTAGACCGATTGTTGTCAAATTTTATATGGTATTAGGAATATCATGTAGATGATAAATTAATTTTTCATAACTAACAACCAGTTGACAAATAATACATATTAAAATAGAAAACAGCAACGCACGCTGAAAAATCAGTTTAAGTAAACATTCATCGAAATAATTATCGAGGGAGCTATTGGGTCGAGGTCACTTTTTTGTTTATATTTTATGTACAACAACATCCCAAAGGTCAAAAACGCGATTTCGGTCACCAAATCACTAAATTTTTTCCATGATTTTTATCTCGGAATGAAGAATCAGGTGCAGGCGGCTAAAGTGGACGAAGATTCTTAGAAAACCATAATTTTCAGAATGAATTTTTGTTTACAAAGGAATGGTGTTTAACATAAAAGAATTTATGGTAGGCAGCAGCAAGTGTAAGCCTTTTTGAATGAATAAGGCCGATGATTTGACGCCGACAAAGCGTACAGATCTCCGGTCCAAGTGATGAATAATTATCTCAACAGTTTGAACTTCTATTGTTCAGCTTATTTTCGGCGTACCTCAGGGGATTTTATTTTTATGGCACTGAAGGACAAAAATTTAGTTACATCCTCTTTTGAGAGATATGGTTGAATCGTATAATATATCATTTGGAAACATTAAAACAATGTGGTTAGATCCATCCAGAACGGTAAATGTCAGATTTTCGTCATATAACTTCGCTTTCCTGATGACGTCAGCTCAAAATTTTGCCGAATAAATCATATCTAAAATGTTCAAAATATGATGAGTGTACACCTGTGATTTTTTTGGATTTGCTAATACAGGGTGTCCCAAAAAAATTAATGAATACGTGAATTTATTTTATTGATTTATTCAAGAACTGCAAATCCGAATGCTTTGAAATCATGGAGATATTTTAAGGTTATCAAAAATGTGGTCAATTTTTGATCAAAAAAATTGATGACGTTACCTCAAAATATGGTCAGTCTATACTTGTAATTTATCATTGCATTCTGTAGATTTTCTAATATAGGGTGATGAAAAAAATTATGAATCAATCAATTTATTTTGTTGCTATTATCTACGTATACTTTTTGGGCAAAAAACAAGTATGCTTAATTAATTGGTCATCTCTTCTGTGTTGAAGAGACAAAATCAATCAAATGTCAGTTTCTTTTAATTGTAATTAAAATTAAATAAGAATTATAATAACAATATTCAGAACATTTTGTTCGATTGGGGCTTAATTAATAATTTTAA